ACTGATTTGCATAATCGATCGATAGTCAAGTATCGACATCGAATGATATTATCACAATCGATCGATAGTCGATTATCGACAACGATTGATGGGGGTGAGGAGTTGATCCATTAGGTAAGGTCGATCAGCTCTCACGTTTTTCTAACAAACCTAACTCAATCAAAATATTATCAGGCAGAGAATCTACCGTCGCAGTATTCTATGTCATAAGTTTAGGATCTAGTTAATTACTCTAGAACCATGTTTTAAGAATACTTCTAATCAATGGGTATCAACTCTCTAGAAATTCTATTTTGGGGCTAATTCACCAGAACCATATAGCACCCAAAACCTAACAGGTGGATCTATTCAAGCATGAAATTCGTCTCAGAAAACATAGAAAGAACAGATAAATAGAATATATGTAAAATATGAAAAACCAAAGAAACAAAAAAGTTCCAAGAGGACTATGATGGAGTTCCTGCCTTCTCTCCTAGAACTTAGAACAATAGAATAAAGCTTAGCAGTCAAAAATTTCTGCATCGATCGATTTTCCTTTATGTTCTCGATAACTTTCTCTCACGAGGTAGACTGACCACTCTTCAGTAAAACAGGCATAACATCTGTACAGGATGAACTATTTGTTGCTCGTTAGGAAAGCCATGAGAGGGATACTGACTCATAAGAGGGATATACATAGGTTTCAGCTCAAAGTCAACCTTTTCTGTCCTTCCGCAAGTTGTGTCGATCGATGTTGAGTTGTTGGTGCCGATCGACGGGAGATGAACGGTGTTGATCGACACGGAATGAACTATGTCGATCAAAGGGGAGTAAACAGTATCGGTCGACACGGGATGAATTGTGTCGATCGATTTCGAGAGAACATTATCGGTCGACACAGGGTGACCTGTGTCGATCGATTTCAGGAGAATAGGGTTTAAGTAGTCTTTCTAGGGCTATTTTATTTCTTCACCTTTATTCAAGGTGGTATGAATTGTAACATGGATTTTGGTGCACTGTTTATTTTCAATCTGGCTAATTGCATTGCTTATTTTACCTATTGGTTCAATTTGGACTACTTCCTCATTAACATGTGTGGTAAGTGAAAACTTACCTGCTCCCGGTGGGGCGTTGTCGATCAATTTTCGTGATTGTTTGTCGATCAATTTGTGGCGTACGTTGTCGATCGCTGCTGCTTGGAGGGTGTTGATCGATTCTTCCCTTGTAGACTTACTGGTCGTGCATAAACCAGCATTTTCTTCCTTGAAGGACTCAGAAATCCTCTCTTCATTGTTTTCTGGTATTGAGATATATGTAACTGAAACAAAAGTGATATCTTGCATATTTGCATTGTTTTGATCATCCATTCTTGCACATTTTGATCAGGTAGAACAGTATTTAGATATGTTTAGGTTGCATTCCATTACATATGTCCTTATCAGGTGATAAAGATGCCAAATGGTGACTTTTGAGCATTTGGAGATGTTTTGGAGGCAAGATTGATGTTTTGGAGGTGTTTCACGGAGTTCCAAGAGTCCCAGCGGTTTCGAGCAGCCGCTGTGACCATAAACAGCTGGAAAATAACTCAAGTCCCTGTCCAATTTCTGGACTCTACAGCGGCCATGAGACGAAGTTGGAAAACTGCTGAGCGCCACAGCAGCCTAGTGGAGCTGTTTCAACAAACAGTTGCGAGCGTTCAGAAAGTCAACATACAAAGTTTGAGTAGACATATTTACCATTGTACCCTTGTTTTCCTGGTTCTATAAATACTTTCTAGACCTAATTTCAGATCTAATCTTCTTTAATCTCTAAGAACACATTGAAACCTTGAAGATAGATTGAATTTTTAGTTTATTTTCTTCTTCTTTCTTAGTGATTGTTTGATTAAACTTACTTCTCAACATGATTTCCCTTAAATCAACCAAGGGTTAAAGGTTGATCATGAACATTAGTGAATAGACTCCTTTTGGATTCATTGGTTAGGGTGATTAGAGAAGATATAGGGTGTTTAGTGTTAGATTTACTTGTTTCCTTGCTTGTTGAGGGTTCTCAATGCCCATTTTAGTCTTGATCATACTAAAATGGATCTTTAGGCATTTCCTGCCCACAAGGTGTATGATGAAATGCCTGAACCAACTCTTTAATGCTTTTAACTTGCTTTACCTAAGAGATTAGTTGCTAAAGAAGTTAATATTGCTATTAGACTTGTTCTCCATGTTTGCTTTAGTCATTCAACCTAAGAGATTGGATGCTTGAGTTGCTTTAGAAAAAGAACATTCATCTAGATATAGAGCTTGTTTAGAATTTTGTCTAGGCATAAGGAAAGTGTTTGATTGCTAGCTTTCCATCTTTAGATTGGATCTACATCACCTAAGATCAAATGTCTAGCCTCATGAGTCCTCTTGCTTCATTTTGAAAAAGAAATATTATACCTTTATTGCATTAGCTTATTAGTTCTTAATTCATACCCTCTTTAAAACTGGATCGCACTTAGCTTAAGCATGAACTTGCATTCCTTTTGCTTTTGAATCACTTAGAACTGGTTCGACAACCTTTCTATACTACAACATTTGGTTAAGTACCCTTGAAAAGTCCTAGCATCAAGAAGAAATTTTTTTATGATTTTTCCGAACAATAACAAAACCTAGACTGAATCTAACTAAATAAGATCTAATGGCGATCAAAGCTCCCCGGCAATGGCGCCAAATTTGATACCACTCAAATTACCCTAAGGAGTGACTTACTCTTTCAAACAAGATATCAGTTATAGTACTTATGGATCGAACCCACAAGAAGCTAGGAAACCAATTAGACATATTAGTTATAATTAAGCTAGGCTAATAAATAAATAAACAGTAAATGAATAATAATAAAGTAAACTGCAGTAAATATAGTAAACAAGGTCGAACAAGGTAGTTGTTCTTATGTAACTGAGGTGTAATTGATGGAAGGATGGTTGCTAGATCTAAGGTTTCAGGTACATGAATTAAAATAGATAGGATGCAAAGCCAACTAAACGCTAGGACTAAACCGTCACTGATTTGCATAATCGATCGATAGTCAAGTATCGACATCGAATGATACTATCACAATCGGTCGATTATCGACATCGATTGATGGGTGTGACGAGTTGATCCATTAGGTAAGGTCGATCAGCTCTCACGTTTTTCTAAAAAACCTAACTCAAACAGAATATTATCAGGCAGAGAATCTACCGTCGCAGTATTCTATGTCCTAAGTTTAGGATCTAGTTAATTACTCTAGAACCATGTTTTAAGAATACTTCTAATCAATGGGTATCAACTCTCTAGAAATTCTATTTTGGGGCTAATTCACCAGAACCATATAGAACCCTAAACCTAACAGGTGGATCTATTCAAGCATAAAATTCGTCTCAGAAAACATAGAAAGAATAGATAAATAGAATATATGTAAAATATGAAAAACCAAAAAAACAAAGGAGTTCCAGGAGGACTATGATGGAGTTCCTCCCTTCTCTCCTAGAACTTAGAACAATAGAATAAAGCTTAGCAGTCAAAAATTTCTGCATCAATCGATTTTCCTTTATGTTCTCGATAACTTTCTCTCACGAGGTAGACTGACCACTCTTCAGTAAAACAGGTATAACATCTGATACAGGATGATGATTGACCTCAGACCGATGGAATTGGAAAGCTAACTAAATTATATATCTTTTGTCAAAATATGGGCTCAATCTAACGGTGGGAAGTTCTCTATCCATAGCTCAACATCTGACGCATCTGTGTAGTTCTTCACTCAAAAGGCTCCAGATGACACCAAAATCACCATATTTCTCCAGAACGTACCTGAACCTGTAAATACTCTAAAAATGTTCGAAAAAATAATAATAATATCTTAAAACACTTATATACCATGGCTGAAAGTAGGTAGAATCCATGGTATATCAACTCCCCCAGACTCAGGGATCTCCTTTATTCTTGTTTATCAATCCGATCCATGGTATATCAATACGATCCATGGTATATCACTGTACCAGAATGATAAAGAAGTGAAGAAACAAAACATTTTCAATATTTGTATTCATTAAATAAAATATTGGCTTCCACAAATGCTAAAGTTTTACATCGTATTGGCAAACTCATTTTTATGAAGGAAGAATCTAGAGATGATGAAAAGCATGTGAGGATAACTATTTTTTCACTATTTGTAGTTATATACTTTTTTTCTTTCTACAAACGTTAATTATCTTTTGTGCAATTTAGGGTATGGAGAAAACATTAATCGAATACCTTGATTAAAATAAGATTATTTTGAAAACAAAAAATTTGGAAGCAATCCAACATTTAAACAGAGATAAATTAATTGAGTCTCAGCTGAAGATATTATTAATCGTCTTAAAAAGGACAAGAAGCTTAAGGAAGCGATTGGGGCTCGCTTGATGGGGACTTCCTCGTGTAGCTCAATGGCCGCAGTCTCAACCGATTAGAACACCATTAATTAATATATGAAAATAATGACAATGTATCATATATGATTAAATTACTGTTTGTTTATTCATCTAAAGCTTTGATGAAATAATAAATGAATTGCATCGATGTCTTCTGTGCATCTCTATATAAAATTGTATTCTCATAATTAAATATATTTGGATCGATGACTTTCTTACCAATAATTATGTCATTTAATAACTTAAATTAATTGAAAGAAGCATTTCGAGCCTACAATAAATGAACTCGTCGTGGGAGACCCATTAGATGTGGACCGTAAGGGCATTTCACTTACATTGTACAAAATATAATCAACAGAAAAAAATATTATTCAGAGCAAAGTTTATTTATTTCAAAGAAGCAGAAAAGTACATTCAATCCGGAATATTAATCCATGAATCCATAATAATTCATATCATGATGTCAAAGTTTATCACCTCGAATCCTTTTAGCAAGCTGGATGTCTCTAGGCATGATGGTAACTCGCTTAGCATGTTTGGCACACAAATTGGTATCCTCGAAGAACCCGACCATATAAGCTTCAGCTGCTTCTTAGAGAGCATCAACAGCGCTGCTCTGGAACCGGAACTCCTCCTTCAAATTTTGGGCTATTTCTTTCACCAGGCGTTGGAATGGAAATTTCTGGATCAATGTTACCGTGCTCTTCTGATACTTTCTGATCTCTCTTAGTGCCACGATTCCTGGCATGTGCCTAGATGGCTTTACAAATCTTATAGTGAAGTTTTGCGCTCTCATCATGTGGGGATTGATCCACTGGACCTTACCTCCTGTGGACATCGAGCTTTCTGTTTGGAACGAGCCATTATGAACAAACAAATTTTGAAATGTGAAAACTTAGATTTGATTGTGAAAGTTGAATTTTAAGAATTTGTGTGTGGTAGAAGACATATATTTATTTGCAGAAGAGTTATGTAAATTTAGGAAAATATCTTAGTTCAAGGAATGTTAAGTTGGTTCTTATCTACATAGAAAAATATTTGATCAAAAGAAACACTACTATGTTTTTTACTTTTTAAGAATAAAAACCTGTAGTTTCCTCTTAAATTTATATACAATACTTTTCTCTCTTCAGATTGTGATAGGTTGTCATACGAGATAACCAATAAGAATGAAAAATAGATAAAGTGAAATTTAAGAATAGCATAATTCCATTTCATAATGTAAACCAATGATCAAATATTTCTTCAAAGCATTGAAAAAGTATGTATTTGTATATAATAATAATGTCAAAGGAAAATATGATATTAGCGTCAATAAAATTAAAAATGTTTAACAATTAAATCTCTTTAAACTTATTGATAGCATTTCCTCTTTTTAATGGTCTATTTTTGGTGTCACTTTTGTTATTTTTGTGCTTGTTTGTTTTTTCTGTCAATCTATTTGTGTTACTTTGGTATTGTTCTTGGAGATGTCATGCCCCTCCCCCTTTGTTAAGTTATCTGATTGTTTCTTATAGTTGTTGTTTTATATTGCACTTGTGGCTTTGTCGGGTTTTCTAATTAGTTTAGCACGAGGGTTAAACAAGAGATTCATCTTTGCTTTTCCTCAACTCAGGTTTGTGCTGACAAGATCATATGTCTATGGAGGACGCGAGAAATCATGAATGTACCCTCAGTTTCACAAACAAGTTGAAACCGTTGGGCTATGCCATAAGAAAACATTTATTTGGTTGCAGGACCATATGTCGCAGAAACAAGATCATGCTGCTTTTGACATAATGGGTAGGTACTCGCATCACCATATTCAGCTATAATTTCTAGGTTTAGACGATCATGGTTACGATATCATTTGAATTAGGAAATTATGACCTGAAGTAAAGCTACCATGGAGTTTTATCCGAAAAAAAAAAAATTACTTTGGTTCTTATCCTAAGATGATGTGTTGTTTGTTGCTCTTTTGAGAAATTTTATATAACCTGTAGGTGAGTGTGTAATGGAGTTTTAGTTTTTTTCACAGAACTATATCCTTTAATAACTGAATGAACAGCGTTAAAAATAAAATTTATTTCAGGTTTCTAATTTACTGATATTTAGATATATCCTAATTATTACATAAAAAGTTTAATAGTATTTGCTTATTCTATTGATAATTAGGGGAAATTTCTAACAATATTGAAACCACACACTGTAATTGATAAAATTACATACTTCCAAGTTGGTCTATGGTTAAATAGAAACATTATATTTTGTATTTTTGTCCTATATAAAATTATTACTTATATTACAACAAAAGAATATTAATAAATTATAAGTTGGTCACAATTTTCAAAAATTAAATAAAACGAAAATATCTTTGTGACTTCCATCAGTTTCATAATAAATTATTTTAAACTAAATTGTTATTTCATATTCCAAATCGGAAAAGTTTGATATTATATATTGTAAACATTTACTAATTAAGGATATGTAACCAAGAACAACATAAAAACATGTTGAGTGGCTTGATTCATCAAATCAATAAATGTACCAAAATGATAAACAATTGAAGAACCCAAATATTTTCAATATTTGAATTCATTAAATAAAGTATTGGCTTCCACAAATGCTAAAGTTAGATCGTATGAGCAAAATCATTGTTATGAAGGAAGAATCTAGAGATGATGAAAAGCATGTGAGGGTAACTATTTCATTACACTTTTCGTAGTTATATACTTTGGTCTTTCTACAAACTTTAATTATATTTTTTGCAATTTAGTGTTTTGAGAAAATGTTAATCTAATACCTTCATAAAAACAAGATTATTTTGGACATAAAATTTTTTGAAAGCAATCCAACATTTAAATAGCGATAAATTAATTAAGTCTCACCTGAAGATAATAGATAATCGTCTGAAAAAGAACAAGAAGCTTAAGGAAGCGAAGGTGGATCGCCTGATGGAGGCTTGCTCGTGTAGCTTAATGGTTGCAGTCTCAACCGATAAGAACATAAATAATTAATATATGAACATAATTACAATGTATCATTTATGATTAAATTCTTTCTTGTTTCTTAATCTAAAGCTTTGATAGAATAAAACATGAACTGCAATGATGTCGTCTGTCTCTATATAAAATAGTATTCTCATAATTAAATATACTTGGTTTGACAAATTTTTTACTAATAGTTATGTAATTTAATAAATAAAAGTAAGAGAAAGAAGCATTTCAAGTCTCCAATAAATGAACGCGTCGTGGGAGATCCATAGATGTGGATCGTAAGTGCAATTCACTTACATTGTACAAAATCTAATAAAAAATATATTATCCAGAGCAAAGTTTATTTTTATCAAAGAAGCAGAAAGGCATATTCAAACAGGAATATTAAGCCATGAATTTTTAATAATTCATATCATGATCTCAAAGTTTATCAGCATGAATCTTTTTACAAACTGGATGTCTCTAGGCATGATTGTAATTCGCTTAGCATGTATGGCACACAAATTGGTATCCTCAAGAACCCAACCATATAAGCTCCCGCTGCTTTTTGGAGAGCATCAACAGCGCTGCTCTGGAAACGTAACTCGGCCTTCAAACTTTAGTCTATTTCTTTCACCGGTCTTTGGAATGGAAGTTTCTAGATCAGTGTTCCAGTGCTCTTCTGATACTTTCTGATCTCTCTTAGTGCCACGGTTTCTGGCCTGTACCTTTACAGTTTTTAAAATATTGTACCGAAGTGTTATGCTCTCATCATTCGCGGATGAATCCGCTGGGCCATACCTCTTGTGGACAATCCGAGCTTTCTGTTTGGAACGAGCCATTATGAAAAAAATAAATTTTGAAATGTCAAAATTTGGATTTGATTGTGAAGGACGATTATTGAGAATTTGTGTGTGGTAGAAGACATATATTCATTTGCCGAGGAATTATATAAATTTAGGAAAATATCTTAGTTCAAGTAATGTTAAGTTGGTTCTTATCTATTTAGAAAAATATTTGACCAAAAGAAACATTATTCTGTATTTTACTTTTTAAGAATAAAAACCTATAGTTTCCTTTTAAATTAATATTCAATTTTTTTTCTCTTCAGATTGTGATAGGTGGTGATATGGGATGACAAATAAGAATGAAAAAAGATAAAGTGAAATTTAAGAATAGCATATTTCCATTTCATAACATAAAATAATGATCAAATATTTCTTCGAAACATGGAAAAAGTATTTATTGTATAATATAATAATGTCAAAAGAAAATATGATATTAGTGTCAATAAATTAAAAATGTTTAACAATTAAACATCTTTTAAAAACTTATTGAAAGCATTTCCTCCCTTTAATTAGTGGCCTTTTTTGGTGTTACTTTTTTCCATTTTCCATGCTTGTTTGTTTTTTGTGTCAATCTATTTGTGTTATTTTGGTGCGGTTTGGAGATGTCATGCCCCTCCCCATTTGTTAAGTTATCTGGTTGTTTCTTATAGCTGTTTCTTATAGCTGTTTCTTATATTGCCCTTGTGTCTTCGTCAGGTTCTCTGATTAGTTTAGGACGACGGTTAAACAAGAGATTCATCTTTGCTTTTCCTCAACTGAGGTTTGTGCTGACTAGAGCATATGTCTATGGAGGATCGATCGGAGAGATCGTGAACATACATGTATGGTGTAATCTCAGTTTCAAAAAAAAAGTGGACACCATTGGGATATGCCACAAGAAAACAATTGTTTGGTTTCTGGACTATATGTCGCTGACACAAGATCATGTTGCTTTGTAGATTATGAGTAGTTAGTTGCTCGCTTCACCGTATTCAGCTATAAATTTCAAGGCATAGACACTCATGGTTATGATATCATTTGAATTAGGAAATTATGACCTGAAGTAAAGCTACCATGGAGTTTGATCCGAAATTATTGTTGGGCTCTTATCCTAAGATGTTGTTTTGTTGCTCTTTTGAGCAGTTTTATATAACCTGTAGGTGAGTGATTTAATCGGGTTTTAGTATTTTTTTAGAAATATATCCTTTGATAACTGAACAACCGGCATTCAAAATAAAATTTATTCTAGGTTTCTAATTTACTGATACTTAGATATATCATAATTATTACATAAAAAGTTAAATAGTATTTGCTTATTCTATTGATATTTAGAGAAAATTTCTAACAATATTGAAACCGTACATTGGAATTAATAAAACTACATACTTCCAGTTTCGTCTATGGTTATTTAGAAACATTAAATTTTGTATTTTTGTCTTATATATCTTTGTGACTTCCATCCATTTCATAGGAATTAAAACTCAATTAATTAAGGACATATATTATTATTTTATTTTATTTTTGGCATCAAAAGGTTGATCTATTACTCAAGCTTGAGGTGGGCTGGGAATCTAGACCGGAATAGAACAACCAACAAACAAAAGTTCTCGATAGAAAGATCGAACAGTTTTGGGTAAGGAATCAGAAACATCATTCTGTGTCCTAGGAACATAGAAGATCTTAAAATATGGGAAGCAGATCCGTAGCGTCATGAGCTTTTCCAATTCCGTTGAAAAGCTCGGCCATTCATGAGGATTTCTGAGCATCGCTATCATCTCCTTGCAGTCTGTCCCAAAGCTCTGGCATGGCGAATGTTGAAGCATATTCTCCATTGCCCACCGTAGTGCTTCCAGCTAAGAGTGCAAAGCAGACTTCACTCCATCGAAATTACGCAAACCCATTAACTGACTATTCCCCATACTTTCATTCCATACCTAACCACATCCATTGAACTGATCTGTAGAGGTCCAAGAGCCATCTACCATACAAATATTTCCCAGACTTATGGTCTGGCTTTCAACTTCTATATTTCCTTGAGGTGGCGATATAAGCTGCTCATTGGCTTGGAACCAGGCTTGACACTCACTATTTGCGTATCGGGCTAACTCCAAAGGATCTCTATCGATTCCTCTGAACAGTTTATCGTTCCGGGCCTTCCAGATATACCATATTATCCATGGATAAGGATTCATGTCCATTTCCGGTTCCATTATGGCATTTTTCCTCCATGAGAGATAATCCATATTCGCATATGTGCTATGTAATGGAAACAAGGTAGGGTTGGTAGGTGTAGATGATAATGCCCAAACTTGCATTGCCAGTGGACACTAGAAAATTGCATGAGTAACTGATTCTTCTGGCTCCTCACATCGTGGACAGCGATTGTCACATCTCATATGTCTATAGTTCAAAGTACTTGTAACAGCCACACGACCTGTTGAAATTTGCCACATAAGATGACACATCTTCTGGGGCGCCTTAACCTTCCAAGCATGTGCTTGGAGTTTTGTGATACTAGGTTCACAAACTACATCTTCCTCCTCCTTCATCAATATATTACGTGCAACCCAATATCCAGATTTGACTGTGTACTGTTCGTTTCTTGTATAGCTCCAGCAGTGCGTATCCCTGCGATGTGTTGAACTAATGGCCATACTCCTTATGAGTGGTATATCAGCAGCAGCTACATAGTTCTCCAACCGTCCCACATCCCAAGTCTTTGTCTCTTGATTAATTAAATCACTCACTCTCATGTTCTGATGCATTACCGGTGCAGATGAGAAGGATGGTCTCGTTGGAATGGTAGGAATCCATGAGTCATCCCATACTCTCACCTCATGTCCCGAATGTATTTTCTGTCTAACTCCCAGCAATAGTAATTCTCGTGCCTCTGATATACTTGTCCACACATACGATTGGCTACTGACATTAAGCTGACGCAAAGGCGTGCTCAGTCGATAGTATCAGCCTCTCAAGACACGGGCTACCAGAGAGTCTGGGTGTTGGACCAATCTCCACATCTGCTTTGCTAACAGCGCAAGGTTAAACTCATGGATCATTCTGAACCCAACCTCATTAGATAAGCATAATTTGTCCCATGTTGACCAGTGTATACCTTTTTTTGGGGGGGGGGGATTCAAACTCCACCATAATTGTGCAATGGCACTAGCTAAAGCATCACAGATTTCCAACGGAAGGAGAAATCAAGACATTACATAGGTTGGGAGTGCGAGGAGGATCGATGTAATCATAACTCCCTTGCCTCCTTTCGATAACCATCTAACCGTTTATCCATTTACCCTATTCCTCAGCTTATCCTTTAAGAAGGCAAAAATCTTGCATTTGGATCCACTGATATCCTCGGGGATTCCTAAGTATGTCCCCATCCCTCCTTCATTCTGAATCCCAAGTGTTTCCTTTATCTCTTGCCTAACATTCTGTCCAATTCTCTTACCAAAGAGTATAGAAAAGTTATCAAAATTAATGCATAGTTATGAAGCTTATCCATATTTTCTGACCTCTCTCATTACTTCTTCACATTCACGGGGCTCCGCCTTGCAAAATAACAGGCTATCATCAGCAAAGAGAAGGTGAGATACCGAAGGACACGCACGTGTGATGCGCATCCCCGTTAGCTTTCCTTGACTCTATGTGTGATTTAGAAGGCTAACGAGCGCTTCCGTGCATAGGATAAAAATGAAAGGGGACAGAGGATCCCCCTGCCTTAGATCTCTCTCCGTGGCAATATTCCTTCTTGGCTGACTATTCATAAGAACCTTGTACTTTACTGATGTTACACATCGCATTATCCATGCAATCCAGATTTCCGAAAAACCCATCTTCCTCATGGTAGCCCCGATAAAGGACCATTCCATTCTATCGTGCGCCTTACTCATGTCTGTTTTAATGGCCATTCTCTTATTGCGTCCACTTGGTTTGGTTCTTAGAGCATGGAACATCTCCTGAGCAATCATAATGTTGTCAGATATCTGTCTCCCAGCAACAAAGGCTGATTGGGTTTCTGAAATCCCATCTGGTACGACCTTTTTTAACCTCTGGCATAGGACCTTGGAGATTATCTTGTAACTGACATTACATAGACTCATAGGACGTAGCTGACTCATCTGGTTCGGCTTATCTACTTTTGGGATGAGGCAAATGTTGGTATCATTTAAACCAGTAGGTAACGTGCCTTCAAACAAGAATTGATTAACCATAAGAGTTAGATCATCCTTTAAAATATGCCAAAATTTCTGGTAGAATAACGCAGTCATTCCATCCGGCCGTGGCTTTCTCTGGGTGCATTGCAAAAAGAGCCAATTTAACCTCCCACTCGGTGACTGGAGCTGTGAGATTCTCATTATCTGCTGGCGTAATGGTTGTAGAAACCTCAGATAATGCTTCCTCTATATCCTCAGAATTTGATGATTAGAAAATGAGACATATATTATTGTTGAACCATAAAGGATAATATAATATATTTAAACTAAATTGTTATTTCATATTCCAAATCAGAACATGTATGGTATTATATATTGGTAAAAATTTACAAAGTAAGGATATTTAACCAAGAACAACATCATATAATCCATGTTGAGTGGCTTGATTCATCAATCAATAAATGTACCAGAATGATAAAGAAGTGAAGAAACAAAATATTTCAATATTTAGATTCATTAAATAAAATAATGGCTTCCACAGATGTTAAAGTTTTAGATGTTATTTATTTACACTATTCGTAGTTATATATTTGTTCTTTCTAAAAACGTTAATTATATTTTTTTGCAATTTAGGGTTTGGAGAAAACATTAATCTAATACCTTGATTATAACAAGCTTATTTTGGACATCAAACCATTGGAAGCAATCCAATATTTAAATAGCGATATTTTAATTGAGTCTCAGCTGAAGATCATAGATAATTGTTTTGAAAAGAACAAGAAGGTTAAGGAAGCGATGGGGCTCGTTTGGTGGAGGCTTTCTCGTATACCTCAATCTCCTCAGAATTAACTGATAAGAACACCAATAATTAATATATGAACATCATTACAAAGTATCATTAAATTGTTGTATGTTTCTCATCTAAACCTATTGATGGAATATAAATGAACTGCAATGATGTCGTATGTGAATCTCTATATAAAATGGCATTCTCATAACTAAATATATCTGGTTTCATGATTTTTTTACCAATAGTTATGTCATTTAATCACTAAAAGTAAGAGAAATAAGCATTTCAAACCTTTGATAAATTAACACGTCATGGGAGACCAATCAGATGTGAACTGTAAGGGCATTACCCTTACATTGTACATGTTATATGATAATAATTACTTTTTTTATGAGATATTCTGCAGACAAATCTAGTCAACAAAAAATATTATCTAGAGCAAAGTTTTTTTTTTTTTAAAGAAGCAAGAAAGTACATTCAAACAAGAATATTAATCCTCAATCTTTAATAATGCATATCATGATCTCAAAGTTTTTCCCCTTGAATTCTTTTAGCAAGCTGGATGGCTCTAGGCATAATGGTAACTTGCTTAGCATGTATGGCACAAAAATTGGTATCCTCGAAAAATCAAACCATATAAGCTTCAGCTGCTTCTTGGAGAGCATCAACAGCGCTGCTCTGGAACCGTAACTCTGCCTTCAAACTTTGGGCTATATCTTTCACCAGTTTTTGGAATGGAAGTTTCTGGATCAGTGTTTCCGTGCTCTTCTGATAATTTCTGATCTCTCTTATTGCCGCAGTTTCTGGCATGTACCTATTCGGCTTTTTAAATGTTCTAGCAAAGTTTTACGCTATCATCATGTGAATCCGCTGGGCCATACATCCTGTGGACATCCGAGCTTTCTGTTTGGAACGTGCCATTCTGAACAAATAAATTTTGAAATGTGAAAACTTAGATTTGATTGTGAAAGATGATTTTTGAGAATTTGTGTGTGGTAGAAGACATATATTTAGTAGTAGAGGAATTATATAAATTTAGGAAAATATCTTAGTTCAAGGAATGTTAAGTTGGTTTTTATCTACACTGAAAAATATTTGACCAAAAACATATTAATCTTTTTCACTTTTTAAGAATAAAAATATTTAATTTTTCTTATTTTAACACTCAATATTTTTTTCTCTTCAAATTGTGATAGGTGGGTGATATGGGATGACCAATAAGAATGAAAAATAAATAAAAAGGTGAAATTTTAGAATAGCATATTTTCATTCCATAACATAAAGTACTGATCAAATATTTCTTCGAAAGCATTGAAAAAGTATGCATTGTATAAAATAATAATGTCAAAGTAAAATATGATATTAGCGTTAATAACAATAAAAATGTTTTAACAATAAACACCTTTTTTTTTAAACTAACTGAAAGCATTTCCTCCTTTTATTGGCCTATTTTTTGTTGGGGTTTTTGCCAAAACTAACCCACAACTTGGTTTTAACCCCAATACTAGACCCCAACTTGAATCAAATGCAAATCTAACCTAAAAGGGCTATGAAATTACAATATAGTCCTCTGTGACCAAACAAAAAAACAGAAGACATTTTTACGAATATAACCCCAGTAAGTTGTCTGAGTCGGGCTGAGTTACTTCTCAGTCATCTGGACGACTGAAATGTTAGTTGTCTGGACGATTGAATCTTTAAAAATAATTTATAAATTCTGTAAAAAATATTTTCATGAGTGAAAAATTAAAAACATGTAATTATAAACATTTATAAATGATATAAATTAAGAAATGATAAATTGATTTGTTTTCAGCATAGATGAGTGGAAGTAGTGAATCATGATATTCTTTGGTTTAAGGGTTTGGCAAACATATGTTGTAGTATTGTATGTAATCTTAGGGTTAGATTTTGAAAAGATGAAATGTTTTTTTTGAAAAAATTAATTTGACCTCTATGTGTTTATTTCTGTGTATAGTAAACATTTTTCAAGTTTA